AGTACATTGATAAGCATAAACACACTTCTGAAAGACCCCTTTTTCTAAAGCTCAAGGACATCCAAACGAAAGAATAACAACAACAGAAAGGGACTTATTCTTCCTTCATTGTGTGGCTGTAAAAAAAATTTAAACAAAATATGAAATAATAAAAAGTGAATGGCCACAGACTTCTCATGAAAAGTGATTTGAGTTTTTTCAGTTTTGCGTTCCCATTACTGGGGTTTTCTTTTATATATATATATATCTTTTTATCATTTTATTGCAGGCTCGTATAACTCTTATCAAAATCCATCCACCCATTGTGTCAAGCACATTTGTACATGGGTTGTCATCATCATTCTCAAAACATTTGCTTTCTACTTAAGACCTTGGTATCAACTCCTCATTTTCCCCTCCCTCCCCACTCCTCCCTCCCCCATGAACCCTTGATAATTTATAAATGATTATTATTTTGTCATATCTTACACCATCCAACGTCTCCCTTCACCCACTTCTCCACTGTCCATCCCCCAGGGAGGAGGTTACATGTAGATCCTTGTAATCTGTTCCCCCTTTCTCCCTCACCTTTCCTCTACCCTCCCAGTATCGCCACTCTCACCACTGGTCCTGAGGGGTTCATCTGTCCTGGATTCCCTGTGTTTCCAGTTCCTATCTGTACCAGTGTACATCCTCCAGTCCAGCCAGATTTGTAAGGTAGAATTGGGATCATGATAGTGGTGGGGAGGAAGCATTCAAGAACTAGAGGAAAATTGTATGTTTCATCATTGCTACACTGCACCATGACTGGCTCATCTCCTGTGGGAAATGTCCAATTTCCCACAGATGGGCCCTGGGTCCCCACTCCGCACTCCCCCTCACTCACAATGCTATGATTTTTTTTGCGGGGGGTGTCTCTGATCCCTGATACCCGATCCCTTCGTCGCCTTGTGATCTCACAGGCTGGTGTGCTTCTTCCATGTGGGCTTTGTTGTTTCTCTCTCAGATGGCCCTTTGTTTATCTTTCAGCCTATAGGATCTCATTACTGGGATTTTCATAGCTATGTGGTGGTTACATAATCTGCTGTCAATTTGAGACTATAAAAGCGAAGGGGTGAAGTTTAGCCTGTCAATCAAGTCACAGGTTGATGACCTCATTTAGAGGCACTAAGGAGATAAATAGCTCACTGGAGGCAAGGCACACACTCACTCCCTGCAAGACATTCCTGTTGACAAGCCATGCAGAGCTATGCTGATGGCAGCCAGTCTTGGAACTGCAGGAACCATATGGAGACCCACACCAGTGCTAAGATGCCGCCACTGGATCCACAAGACTTTCCTCCCACTCGGCTGTGATTTTCTTGCACTCAGTGTCATTGCATGTGTGGCTTGAATCTGACGAGGAATTTACAGAGTATTGACATATGGACTTGATGTGGACTGGGCTGGGATGTTTTCTTAATGTACAATTACTCTCTATATAAAGCTCCTTTCTATAAACATAAGTATCTCTGAATTTGTTTCTCTAGTCTACCCAGACTAACACAAGCTATGTGGATGGAAAGCTACCTTGGCTTTTAAAAAGTGGCCTAAGCTGTCTTAATTAAAGATTAGATCACAATGAAATCTGAAAATAAGCGTGAAGCAAATAATTCCACGTATAAAAGCACAGCATTCTGGCAACAGCTTAAAAAGGTGCATATCTATAAATTAAAATTAAAAAATTAGAGCCCAGGATATACTTCAAAATACTCCTTCTACACATGCTGAGTTCTACTCCACGTGGTCCTGGTTGTGGGGCTGTGAAGAACTGTGATGGTGGAGTCTCGCTGCCTCGGGTGGACGCAGGCTCCACTCTCAGAGAAATGGAGCCCACTCTCTGTGTCCCTGTATCCTCCTCTATAAAAACAAGCCCTTATTAATACCCACCTGACTGGGGCTATGAGGGCTGAACATTGGCACATGCCTGCACGCCTTTTCAGGAGCTTTGTCACCCCCGTGCCCTCGCTCCAAGCACACAGGATTCATAATCCCGAGAGAAAAAGAATCCAACTTGAGGCCCTGGAGAGAGCAAGAATGAAGTGGGAGACAACCAGGCAGAGATCCCTCACCTCACCCAGAACAACTTTTTAATATCGTACTCCTATTAGCCAAAACTGAAATAAAAAACTCACTGCCATCAAATTGATTCCAATTCGTAATGACCCTACAGGGCAGGGTAGAACTGTCCCTGTGGGCTTCCAAGGCTGCAACTCTTGATGGGAGCAGAAAGCCCCAGTGGGACTTAGAATGGCATCAAAGTTCTCATTAGCAATGTTAGGAGCTAAAAGACTACAGGACAACTCTTCCAGAATTATGGGTGAAAATCAATGCTGAATTCCACACCAAACTCTCCTCCGAGTAAGACAATAGGAACCTTTTAGTACTAGAAAAATCTCTTTTAAACTATCTTTCGTGCATATTTTCTCAATGAACCTCACGAAGAAGTGCTCCTCTAAGAAGTTCTCTACCAAGGAAGAGAAGGCCACAAGGTCCTACACCATCAAACCGATTCTGACTCGAGGTGACCCTGTAGGGCAGAGTACAGCTGTCCTTTGGGTTTCCAGGACTGTAGCTCTTTATGGGAGAAGACAGCCTAATTTTTTTCCCAGGGAGCAGCTGATGGGTTCCAACTGCTGACCCTGAGGTTAGCAGCCAAGACCCAATCCACTATGCCACCAGAGTAGGATTGGGAAATGGGAATATGGAAGGAAAGTTTCAGATGAAAATCATGTTTTCAAGTTGAAAACACAGCCAATTCAGAGTGGAAGAACGAAAAATAGCTTCTTTTTAAAAATCCTGTGAACCATAGTAATTATTCATTATTCCAAAACCGTATCTGATTTCTGTTTCCATCATCCTGGCCAGCAATACAAAATAGAGCATTGGAAAGAACAAAGGGGTTTAATGGATCTTTGGGGCTGAGAAGAAGTAGCCTCACTTAAAGAATTGCTTATGAAGACTGGGTTAGAAAAAAGGTTTTTTTCCTAAGTCTTTTAGAATGATTATATACAGTCTGAATTATCACATATACGCCCATATTGTCAAGTCCTTTGTTTCAAACCTAGCTATAGAAAAAGCCCAAGCCACACCTTTCCTAGATGCCAAGAAGGTGGCGTTAGCAGAAGAGAAGATGGCATGGTTAGCATCCTCACATCCCGGTCAGTCCAGGAACCTCTGCATTGTACATACAGTAGCTCGTATTATTGTCATGTAAATCTGATCCTTACTTAGATTTTCTACTTAACTCCTTTTAAAATGAAGATCAATATGCCTCGGTAATATCTACATTATTCACAGCCAATGGAAGCAGAGTTAATCTACTATGTCTCTAATCTGCTTTAAATAAATCAATCCACTGAGTGGTTCTCTACCACGCAACACACACACACACACACACACACACACACTCTTTTTGCTGGTTTAACCCATTGCACCACCAGGGGTTCCTGGAGATTTGGAGTCATTGAAAGTACAAAGGGTCCCTTCTGGGTTTGTAGAACAATGAAGGCAGTCTACTTTTAGATCTTCCCAATCACCCTCAAAACACCAACAAACCAACCCATGAAACTAGCAAAGAAAGCAAGTAAAGCCACATCTGTCCCATGCCTTCAGCATCCCCCATGCTAGAAAACCATATGCCGAATGACTACCACTAATGCTCCTGCTGGCCACTAAAGCAGGTTCGTATGCGGGACCAATGACAGGAGGCACCAGAGACCAGGTGTGTTAGCTGGGTGGACTAGAGAAACAAATCCAGAGACACTCATATATATGTAAGAGAGAACGTTATATGAAGTAGTAATTATGCATCAAAAAAATCCCAGCCCAGTCCAGATCAAGTCCATTAAGTTCAGTATTAGCCCATGAATTCCTGTTCAGACACACACAACACGTGCAATGATCCCGGAAGATCACCAGCCAGTGTGTAGAAAGTCCTGTGGATCCAAGGGCAGTGGAAGCATTTCCAGGACTCTGGCTGCCATCAGCGTGCCTTCCATGTAGCTTGTCAACAGGGAGGTGAAACAGGCAGAGATAGTGTATCCTGCCTCCAGGGAGGAAGAGAGGAAAACTCCCAGAATCCTCCTGAGAAGGCCATGCCCACAAGGAGGCATCAATCCAGCTGTGTCAATCCAGATTGACAGGCCAGACTCCACCCCTGTAACCTATTTGATCAAGTTGACATGAAATTATGTAACTACCAATCAGGACAGAGTGAGGGGCACAGAGGATGCAGATGACACACAGAGAAAACATCCCTGAAGCCAGAAGCCACGGGGTTGCGCAGGTCGGGCCAGCCCGAGCCTAAAGCAGCAACTGGGAAATAGGCTGGACAGCAGTGGCAGCCTCCTCTGAGCAGCACAGCTTCCCCAGAAGACCTAGCGATGCGGGGGGAGGGGGAAATCCATGGCAGTGAAGGGAACCGAACCAAACTCACTGCCATCGAGTTGATTTCGACTCACAGCGACCCTGTAGGGCAGGGCAGAGCTGCCCCTCCTCCCTGTGGGTTTCTGAGACTGTAATTATTCACAGGAGTAGCAAGTCTCCTCTTTGTCCCAAGGATCAGCTGGAGGTTGCAAATTGCTGACCCCCCTGGGGTTAGTAGCCCACTTCATAACCACGAAGCCACCAGAGCAGGAGGGAAATAAAAAGGAAAAATTCAGCATCCCAAAGTAAGTAAAGAGCAAGACAACCAGCGGCCCCCACACCCCTCTCACTCCACCCGCACACCATCCGTAACAGAGGACCCTCTGTAACGGAGGACCAGCCACAGCAAAGGAAGGAGAGCATGTACTCTCCAACAGGGCATGGCCAGACAGACAAAAGGCCAGCCACAGACACTCAAAGTACTGTGAAGACTTAGAAAATGCTAATCAACACATTTCAGGGCACAAAACCTCCTCCTGTTCCTCCCCGCTCCACACACTCTGCAAAAAAAAAAAAAAGAAACAAGAAACAAGCTGAGGAAAATGGTAACGCACCCCTTTGGACTGAATGAAAACAGCTCACACATCCTGAGTCAGAAAGGCAAGATCCAGGAACAGACATGTGCCAACAAAGCAGCAGCAGCAGCAGCAGCAACAGAAAGAAGGGAAACAGCAGCTGACGGAACCCAGAAAAGAAAGACCCACTTTCCAAATGGACTGGGGAGCATGGCCCCCAAACCACCTTGCCACTGCCCTGCCCCTGCCACATACTCACTCCCTCGAGGAGGGGAAGGGAAGTTCTTAACAAAGGACACCCCCTGTGGCCTGGTGACCTACAAACTACCTGTATGAACAGATCACCAGAGGGCCTGACAGGATGAGCCAACCACGGGCTACTGACACAGCCCCCATGGACAACGCGGAGCAGACTCACTGAGGAGACAGAGAATGTTTGGCATCCGAGAGAAATTCTGCCACGTACTAGAGCCGTGCTGAACTGGCATTTTGACCATGCCAAGCTCCTCATTGGAAATCAGGGAGTGGATGGCTGGCTGACTGGCTGGCTCCATACCTAGGCAGGTAGGAGCGCACACACAGCACACACACACACACACACACACACACACACACACATTCCCATGTTCCCATAAAAGCAAAGCATCAGCAACCTCCCTGCCATCGAGGGGATGCTGATTCACAGTGACCCTACAGGACAGGACAGGACAGAACTGCCCCTGTAGGGTTCTGAGACCGTTAACTCTTTACGGGAGTAGAAAGCCTTGTCTTTCTCCCAAGGAGAAGCTGGTGGTTTCGAAGCACTGATCTTTTGGTTAGCAGTGCAGGGCTCCCACAAGAAAGGATCTGTATTACTTTAAGTGGAAGTGAAATCGAGGTGCAAGGCAAGTAAAGGTGGAAAGGAGAATACACCAGTACAAGGACACCTTACTGAGATGGTTGCTGCTTGCCAGCTCTCTCGGAATTACGTTTAGAATGGTTCTAGAATTATCTGTGTAAAGACAGGGAGAACACTACCTTCCAGCCTCCAGGCTGTGTGTGTCTACAAACCCTCCAACACGTGTCTCAGACTGAGCAGACATACCGAGGCCCTCCTTGAGACAGGGCAGGCACTGTCAGTGCAAGTGGAGTCAAAGCTGCCATGCAAGAGACTGACTGAAGTCAGTGAGGGGAGTTGCTTAAGCCCTCCATGTTATACAAGTCCACCACCGAGTCTTTGAGGAGAAGCCAGGTGGCTACTACACTATATAGGGAGAGGGAGGCGTTCATCTTGAACTCAAGGAACTGACTGAGGTTTTTCTCGTTGCTTCCAGCTTGGTGAGTAGACAATTCCAGCAACCACACACCCCACCCCCTGAAAAGGGAAGGCAACTAAAGCCTAAGAGAGGAAGACCCAGAGACACAAGTCAAGTAACACATGATTGGTTGTCCTTCTATCTTGCCCCGTGGCTTAATAGCCATTGTCACGGGTCTTTTGAGTCAGGGCAGCCTGAATGCCAGTCTAGCCCATTACAGTAAATCTGTCCTTCAATGTTCCTGGTCATTCCAGGTTACACCACCCTCTGGCCTCTGTCATTCCAGAATCCTATCATGGCTGTGGACAAAAACGGAATCCAGCTGCCATGAAGGTAACTTCCATCAACCCCAGTTTCAGTCTCTCTCTCACCGGAGCCATCATTATTTCATCTTAGCAAAGAAAGTACATTCTCCAGCCTCATGTTTAAAACGTATTTCAATATTCCCTCTTCTCTCAGACTTCAATACTCTACCAAAGCCACCCATGTCTATTTGTCTAATTTACTATAAGCCATATTCGTGCCCAAGCTTCAAGAAGCATCCTGCGTTCCACATATTAGGATCGAAATACTAGGATATGCAATCCATGTCAATAAATTCTTCCCTCCCCTCTCTAGCCTTATGATTCTACTACCACTGAATAAATAATCGGATCCACTTGCCCAAAAGTCCCCTTTGGGACATTCTATTCTGGTCCTGGCATGATTTTCCCAAGTTAACTATTTTCCCCTAGAGCAAGCACTCTGTCTTTGCCCGGACTCTGCTTAGAATATGTCCCATTATTGTTCTGGAACAATATGGGTGAGGGGAGGGCAGATCTTAAGTAGCATCATCATCATCTTGTGAGGTAGCCAACCCAACATTATCCCTGCATGGTCTCCAGACAAGGGGAGACTGCTCTCTCGGAACAAGCCCAGGGGCAGTGGAACAAGGGACTAGGGGCAGTGATTCAGATGACTTAGGGAAATTCAGTGGCTTAAGACTATCAATCATGCTTATCTTCTCAAATGTCCCCATCTGAGGTGTCAGGCCCTTCCAATTTGTATTATAGTCTGGGTACTTTAGAGAAACAAATCCACAGAAACTCATGTTTAAGAGAGAGTTTTATAAAAAGGTTAAGTGCACATCAAGAAAACATCCCAACCCAGTGCTGCCCAAGCTCACAAGTCAAACATTAACCCTTATGTCCGACACCAATCCACAAAGTCCTCCTCCATCTCACAAAACACACACTATGATGCAGACTGTAGGAGGAAAGCTGAATCAGTGAACGTGTAAGCATCTCAGCACTGGCAGGGGTCTCCACACGGCTGCTCCAGCACCCAGGGCTACATAGGGGTAGGTCCATGTGGCTTCTCTTTGGGGACGTCTTGCAGGTAGTGAGCCTTGCAAGCTGAAACAGGGAACTGGCTAAGGCAGCCGCACCCTGGTCCGACCATCACAAAGCAAGAGACCCGAGAAGTAGAAAAGCGAGGCTCACTGAGCCATTTATCCCTCCTCCCTTCAATTAACACGTGTTTATCAGCCAGGTCGGCACAATAAACTACCTCACTATTTTTTGCCTATCAGGCTCAACTCTGGCATAGAACATATGTCAATAGTGGAGCAATAGGCAGGACCACTATGAATGAGTGTGTGGCAGTTACATAATCTACTGTCAACTGGCAAAGGGGTAGAGTCTACCCTGTTGATCAGGTCACAGCTTGATGACCTCCTTTGGAGGTGCAAAGGAGATAAATAGCTCACTGGAGGCCAGATACATCTCTGATTGACTCACCCTATGAGACATTCCTGTTGACAAGCTACATGGAGCTATGCTGATGGCAGCCAGCCTTGGAGCTGGAGGAGCCACGTGTAGACCCACACCATCACTGAGATGCTTCCACCACCACTGGATCTATAAGACTCTCCACCCACTGGCCTGTGATATTCCTGCATTTGGCGTCATTGCATGGTTGCATGAGTCTAAAGAGGAATTTATGGACTTGTATCGACATATGGGGTATTATCAGACTTATGGAGTTTATGTGGACTGGGCTGGGATGGTTTCTCAATATACAATTGCTCTTGTATATAAAGCTCTTTCTTAGACACATAGGAGTGTCTGTGAATTTGTTCCTCTAGTCAACCCAGACTAACACAGTGACATAGAATGAGAGACTTGGGAGGGCGTTTTTAAGTCAAAAGGGAGAACTTGCTTCTGCATCGGGAGCTGGGCTTGAAGACAGCAGGGCATGAAGTTAAAAGGAAAGGAGATGACACAGTCAGGAGACTGCGAGGATCAAATGCAATCCCAGAGACAACCGAGGAGGAGGAGCCTAACGGCTTCCAGTTTCAGTGGGGTGGGAAACTGAAAAGCTGCTCCTCTGGGCCCAAGCAGCCAGTGGAGGTGAGTGGTAGTTCAAGCCAGGCCCTATTTATCTTGAGGAAGAGTATCAACGGTTCTAAGAGGGATGACAATGGATGGTCACTAGTTAATGCTGTCGGTGACAGCGACCAGTGCAGAGGAAGCAGGACAGTCGGCGTCGCACAAGGAACCAGGAGAGAGGTACAAGCTCTCACCAGGCAGTGGAAGAACAGTACCCACGCTCCAAAAGCCACTGCTCTACAGAGTGCAAAGAGAGGCATTCGGAAAACGGGCCCGGTGCAGTGACTTGAGTGAGAACCGTTCCAGTGGTGTGGTGGTGAGGGAAGCCTGGTGCTGTAGCACATCAGAGAGCGATCGGAGACACAGTAGAAACCACTGGAATAAACCACTCTCTCAAGAAGTGGTAGGGAAAGCTGTGGAAAGGGGAATGACAGCAATAGCTGCCAAGCCACAAGGGCTGTCAGCTTTCTTTTTACAGTAAGATTCCAACGTGTTTAGGTACAGAAGAGCTTGATGATCAGGGAAAGGAGGGAAAACCCCTGGAGTGAAAGTCTCTGGGAATGTAGAAGATATCCAACTTAGGTATACAGTACAATCTGATTCAGTCATCTTTAGTTAATGCCAAGGCTGTGAACCGGTTTGATCTCCTCCTGATCATCTGGTTGTCTGCCCAAGACATGATGAATTGTAATCTACATTTGAACAAGACCCCAAAGATGCTGTGTCTACAGAAGAATCCCCTGGGAATGACTCTGTAGATACCCAGGGCGGAGTCTGGTTTTCAGGGTGGTGTATCTACTATCAATATCATACTCAACAGCCACATCCCCCACCAAAAAATACCCAATTGCTATAAGGTGATTCCAACTCATAGCAACCCTGAAGGAGCCCTGGTAGTGTAGTGATTACATTTTGGGCTGCTAACCACAAGGTCAGCAGTTCCAAACCACCAGCCACTCCACAGGAGAGAGACAGGGTTTTCTACTCTTTTAAAGTTACAGTCTCAGAAACTCACAGGGGCAGGTCTACCCTGCCCTACATGGTTGCTATGAATACCATACTCCAAAAACCAAACTCACTGCTATGGAATCACAGCCGACTGAAATTAGAGCTTATCTGAAATTGGGTGATACAGAACTTACTTCCCCCTAACAAAAGGAGAGGAAAACTCTAAGAGAGAAAAAAGACTTTTTTTCCTCACTGCATAAAATTGTCACCTTTTGACAGAAACTAAATTTGTCCAAGAAGCATGTTTTGTCATCTGAGTAAGAAAATCCGAGGCTTTATAAGAACATTGTTTTCCAGCTGTAATTATTAGCTTGGTCCCAGTAAATGAGATGCTTACTGTTTTCTTGGTATATTAAACACAGGTTTAAGTACATTAGGCAGGT